CTCGCCCAGGCGAGCCAACTCTCGCTCAGGCGAGACCACTCTCGCTCAAGCGCGCCATCTCTCGCTCAAGCGAGAATCCTTCAGTATAGCCCAGGATTTCACCCTCCCAGGTGAACTTTCCTCGTCCAGACGAGAATCTCTCGCTCAAGCGAGAATCCCATGACTGATATTATAATTTAATGACTTTAAAAATCTAGGGTGTTACATCAATGGAATTAGCTGGCAGCATCCTACATTTCTTTACAACTGGAGTTGTGTAATTCTATAATTATCTCCTTAATTAGAATAGCTTATCATTTAAGCCAGCAGATGTTGCATTATTGGATAGCTGAAATTATGTAATTTTGGAAATATCTACATAATCAGAATAGCACAACTTTAAAATAGCAACTATAGCAGTTTAGAAAATTTTCAGGGATTGTATTATACTATCTATATCAGAATCCTCCGGAAGGAGGGGACACGATGCAAACCTATATTTTTTAGAGTCTAGCATACATATAAAATCAACAAATCAAACAACGTAAAAATATGGAATTTCTACGGTACCAAGTGAGTTGTCAATCACTCACTAAATGTTGTTTTTGTAATACAACAACAATAATAAGCACTCACTTGTTTTTCTTTGTCTCTCTCAATAATAATAGGAAATCTACATAATCTAACTATGAGCTATTCTTCATCTAACATACTATCATTGTTCCAGGGCTTTTGTAGTCTTTCACTTTACTTATCATTATTATTATTTCTTCATCCTACAACTATTATTGACCACTACAACTCTACACTCAACAGCAACAACCACAATAGTAGAAAAAATAAGAAATTTTCTTATCATTATTTGGAACATGTGTCGATGTAGAAGTATCCGGTGTTAATAACATTGCTACTAATGCCTCCACATCTACTCCTGACTTGTTTTGATTTATGACATTTTTAGTAAAATTTGAAATTTTTGTTCTATTGATGACATTTCCTGCTTATGTTTTGCCTCCATCTCCAAAACTATATCATTTAACAATTTCATTTCATCAGCATGTTTATTCTCAATTTTTGTTATTTCTTCCGTTCTTTTCAAAAGAGTAGGTGTGGTAACTCTTCCATGACACCGAACTCTTCCAGGCTTTTCTTTCCCAAACACATTTTGAAAAGCTTCGTCAAGTTGTTCACTACAATTTTCAATTAAATCCTGGAGTTGTGCCTAACATTTTTAGAAGCAACCGGGTTAGTATAACATTTTTAAATCCGGTGGAAAAAAAATCTAGAACTTACCATACTAATAAAGAAACTTACCATTGCATTAGTTGTTTCTTGGTCCAATGACTCTCCTTTCTTGCTTTGTCTAGTTTCAAAAAACATTTCAGCTTGGTTGGGCATTTCTTTATTCTCCTTAGTTGCACGCTTTATTTCTCAAAAATAAAATATTTAAGTACAACAATTGCACCAAATAATATAAATAATGACTTTATAACTAAAATACCATACCAATCTTTCCCTTATGACACCGAAGTTTATAGATCCCGTTCGGTGTCTCCATTTTTTATGAGATTTGTTTTTTGAATTTTGTTCACTCATTTCCTATGTACAATAATACCAAAGTAATTATAAAATTAAATTTGAATCTAATTTAACATAAATTAAAGCTCATGAATCTTACTTTGATATTTCCAAGACTCCAATAACGTATGAGTTCCTTAAAGTGTGATTTTGATATGTCTTTGGGACGATTTTTCAGGCGCTCATACGTTATTTTATACTTGCTAAAATGTTCTTCCTTGATGACGCATTTGTGTCGTCTCCAAGCATCATTTAGAATAGCAAATACAGCTTTTTTTCCTACATCTGGAATGATGTATTTTTGCTACAAAGAAAAGAAGCAAAATTAAAAAGATCTAAACACACATGCAGGAACACTAATTAAAAAGCACAATTTCGAAACTAATACCTTGACATAAGTCCATATGAGATCTTTGTCTGGTACAACCTTCCAATTAGTGTAAACAAGGGGACAAAAATCTGAACTCCTAGCTATTGTTCCCAAGAAATTGCTAAATTGAATAACAATTCTTTGATCTGGTCCAATTGGCACTCCAAATTCATTAAAAAGGATTTCTATTCTATCTTCTAGTGATCAAGCATGAACTTCCAAACATTTTGTTTTGCCACGCTTTCTTTTTGATGTTGCCCCTAATTGACATATTTATAAATAAACAATATAAAATTTGTAAATTGAAAAAAATGAAAAAACTAAAAAATTACAATAACATTAACGTTGCCTTGATTTGTACTATTACTTGTTTCATCATCTTGCTCATTTTGATGGTTTATATCCTCACGAACTTCACATACATCATCATTTTCCTCCCCCTCTTCGCCTTCTTGCACATCTTCTCCTTCATGCTCATCCTCACCTTCTTGCTCATCTTCATGTTCTACATTGTTATTCAGAAAATCATCAAGTAACATTGATGTGCTTCTAGTATGACAACTCAAAAAATTGATTTCTTCTTCATCAAGCCCCAAATCCCTTATCATGCCTCTAGTTTTATAAAATGAATCAGAGATATTCAAATGAGGCATAGCTTCTCTCAAGAGCCCCATCAAAGAGCTAAATGATGCATTACTCCACCCATGAAGACATTTCAATAAGTATAATCGAATCGTGAATGACAATGTAGAGAAATTCTTACAACCTGGGTACAACTCTTGTTGTGCTTCTTCAATTAGATTGTAAAAATTTTTAGCATCATCATTGAGGCCATTGTTAAGTTCATTGTCTTCTGCCGCATCTCTAAACGTGTCACGCAATAATCCTTCAATATCATCAACTGAATCATTATCATCATCCATGCAACCATCAAGATCCATGTCTTTTAGAACCTCACCATGACGAACCCATACATCATATCCCTTTTGAAACCCATACCCTATTAAATGGTCATATACTACAGCCCTGACTTCCCAGCAAGTATTGTGACATTTGGCACAAGGACACAAAATTTCTCCTCCTTGTGGTTTTCCGTTGGTGTAAGCATAGTTCAAAAAAAACTCAACACCATCAATGTACTCCGAGCTATACCTCGGCAATTTAATCCATTCTTTGTCCATCAAGGTAACTAGAATTGTGGAAAATAAAAATAAGTAAAAATGCATGGATAGAAATAATAAGAAGAAAAAAAGATTAACTTTAGTGATGAATGCTAATCATGTAAAGAACGGTTGCAGCGACTTTTCATTCATAAGTACAATTTAGAGCTCTAGAAGGATTGGTATTAGCAACTAATAAAGGATGACCTAATAGCAACTAATAATTGTTTGATGGGAGTTAAAGAAAATAGAACATGGACGGTACACAAATAGAAAGCAATGTTATATGTACAATCATCAACGACAACATTGAATACAACCTTCATGTTTAATCGCAATGAATACTCTAATTTTCGAGTTCATTGATTTTTGAATCCAATTGGGTGCATGATGATGCATATGAGATGGAGGAAAATGTGTTACCTCTCAGTAGTTTTTATTCATTTTAAGAAGGAATTTATCCTAGAAGTACAATTTCATTGACATTTAAATGTAAAGAAGAAGGAAATCAAGACCACAATAATTTCTGCAGAAATACAATTGAATGATGAATAATTCACTATTAGTGTATAATTTTTATATTGTCGGTGCATAGATATTATATCCTAAAACAAATAAGCCACCACACAATTGGGAAGAGCAAGCTAGTGAATACATGTTGGCTTGTGAATATTGCAAATATATACCAGCTGATTTGACGATTAATGTACCTAGAAATACCTTACTTCTAAGTCACACTTTTGTTACCAAATTGACTCGCCAACAACAATATTAGAGTTCAAATTTGATATATCCTCTCATAGTCATATATATCTCTTCCGAACTCTTATTTAGTAGTTTATAAATTATTTGGAAGCGTATAAGTTATGAGTTAAAAACTAAAACTCTATAAGCTAATTGCTTAAGTAAGAACAATTTCATAAAATTAGCTATCAACCTATCGTTAAAAGAGATTATATTTATGATTTCATGTCATTCAGCTCAAACAGCCCATCAACTAAAGTTTAGAACACTTATTTGTATCTCTCTTTAACCAAACTTTACATAATCAGTATCAAACAAGAATAGAAGAAGAATGATATGTTAGATAATCATTATGAATGTGTTAGATCACTGTTACAACAACTTTTAACAATTAGAGGCAACATTTTGTTGCAGACCCTTGTAATAAGCTGTCCATTTATCATACAAGCAGACACACTTAAAGTCCTACTGTAAATTTCATAACCTTAGATTCATTTCCTTTTTCATTCAATATTTTGGATTAATTATCTTGAAGCTTGTCCTATTGAACCATTCATTACAATGAGCATAAAACATGTAATCCATCTAAATGTACTAGCAGACACAGTACGAGTCCAAAAATGGAATAACCATAAAGAAGACAAGTGCAGAAAGTATGATGAATTGGTTTGCGTGTAAAGTAAGCAAACAGGAGTGTATCTAATATTGATTAACTAAAATCTGTGAGTTCATACTTATTGACTTCAAACAAAATCAAATACAGTAGCACTTTGAGTGATAAACAATCTTCAAACTATCCTCACTTAGGCCCTAATTCATTACCGATTGTTTTGTTAGACAATTTGGGATAGAACATGGAACTACTAGATTTACATCATGAACGTATAGAATTACATCTTTAAAAACTCCTTCCCCTGTAATATTAATTTCATTTATGTATTGACTCTTGTAAATCAATAGATGCAAAAGTTCTATCAGTCAAGGAAGCGTCAGAGGTAATTTCAAACCATCAATCCTAATAGAAACATACCAATTAACAAATACGACAACACATAGATGGTGAAAGCAAATGAATAAGAGTCACGAAGCAATTCAAAGCTTTAGAGGAAAATCCAATATTCCTGTTGACATCATCAAGGAAGTAATCACTTCAGAGAAAAAATCAATACCTTTAGGCAAACACAACTTGAGCCATCTTCTATTTCAGTGGAGGAAGTTTCAAAAAATCAAACAAAAAGGGAAACTGCAACAGAAATCAGAAGCAAACAGAAAATGGCATCTTTAATTGGAGGCAAAGAAAAACCAAATCTACGAAGTAATCGTTTGTCTCCAAAAATAATCGTTTGTCTACGAAGTAAGCTACGAAGTCTTTGATGAAAAATAATGAGAATGTTGAAGAAGCCAAACCTGAAGAACTAGAAAGCAATGAGAAGTTAGGGTTTGTGTAGTGAGTACAGCTTTGCTTTGCATTGCATTGCAATATAGAGAACGGTTTAGAGATGGAATAGAGAAGGAAGGGTTTAGAGAACGGTTTCTAGCTTTGGTGAGTATGTCTGAAGGGAGTGAAGGGTTTAGAGGTGAGTATATAATAAAATAATAAATTAAATAGTTAATGTAATAGAGAACGGTTTTTTTAAAACTGATTGGGCAATACTTAAAAATTGTGGTCAATGGTTTAATAATCAAATCCAAATGTTATAAAAAAAAAACGTTGTCTAATAGTTTATGGCAATGTATATAAATATAAAAAATTAATAACTATGACAATACTATAGAAAACCGTTATCTAATGTAGTTTTTTGCCACGGTTTTGAAACTATTGGCATTGGAAGCGTTATCATAGACCAAAAATGTTGTAGTGAGGGCAAGAGTCATGACATATTTATTCATCACAAATTCTGCAAGGACACTTACATATATAGAGTCATATATAGAGTAGTTTCTTCTCTAAGATAATGAGAGTGTGAAAGATTATTTCCAGCTCACTGTGTAAGTGTATTTTTGTGAGAATTATTGTTTCATTTGAGAGAGTATTTGTGGGAGAAATATTATTCTTTATCCTCTCTACTATTAGAATATTTGTTGTACTCTCCATTTTACATAAGTGAAATTTTGATCGTGAGCGCCCGTATTTTTTTACCTCTCACATCGAAGGGATTTTTCCACGTTAAATCTTGTATTCATTTATCTAGCTAATTTACTTGTTTCTCTTTTGTTCTCAATTGATTCGACATAATATTTCCACTTATTGTTCTATCCCTAACAATATTACATTATTACCTATGACACCAATTTCAAGGAAGACGTCCATTGAACAAACACAAATATGTTGTACTATAATATTTGTTATTATATTTAATTGATCAAAAATATTAATATCGAAATTAAATAATTTTAAAGCATATCTTTCTCAATCAATTATATATAGGGGCATATAAAGTGATATTTAATTATACAATATCAAAATTTGTCACAGGGATGAGATGTGTATGTTGGACTGGAAAATCAACAACTTCGTTCAAATAGGGCAACCTGGACAATGATAAGTACATTTCTTCCCTAAGCAATACTGTGAATCGTATTTTTTTTAAACATTTACTATCGCTTTAAATGAGTTTGTTAAAATGATTTTTAAAAATGTGTAAGTTATTGTGAGTTTATTTTCACAAATTACAACTTCAAACTTATAGCATTGAAAACATCTCTTTTAATTCTAATAGTTAAAAACTAAAGCATTTTTCCTGTCACTTTAATATATTATTGTGAAAGTGGAATTGGATATCAAATCAGAAGATATCATATTAGATTTAATTGGTTTAAATGGCTAAATCATATAGTCATATCACATGATTTTATCTATAATTAATAATTAAATATAAATGCAAAATTTTATAAAATTAATAATTATGTATAATTACATTGAAGTAACATTTCTTCATTTTTTTTCCGAACCGGGGTAAAATAAAATATTAGAGTAGTATGTTAGTCGTTCGGTTTACTTTCCGGGTTATTGCGGTTTTACCGGGTTTAACACAAACCGATTTTCCCATTTAATAGTGGTATAACTCCTTATTTAATTAAGACTGTAAATCAAAGTCGTTTTCAAATATGCTTAGTGATCAGATTGATCAAACTTTCCGATTCTATCTTATTATCATAACATTGCTTTAATGATTAAGGCATTTTTTTACCTAAGAAAACTTTACCTATCTGTTAAGAATTTGGATCCTCTCTCCTAAGTTATCACTTTTTGAAGACTTTATTAGAGCTAATGTATTTTCAAGCTAACATATTATGAATCGATGTATTATCACAGGCCTAATGCGTTGTAAGCTGAACTTACTAACCCAGCAAGTTACAGGCCCAATGCGTTGCCCCATTAACCCACTCCTTAAAATAAAGTGTATCAAGCTACAATGTAAAAAAGAAGAAAAAGAAAATGTTATTTCTAAAACAAATAAGCTAATAAAATATATTCTCGTACTATAAGATAAGTTATATCATTTAATTATTAAAACTATAACATATGTTATATTTTAATTTTTAAAAATAGTTTTTATAGAAAAAAGTTAAATATAACGTATTTCATAATTTTAGAAAGTTTAAGAGATTATTTATTTCATGATATGAGGATATATTATTCTCAACAAATAAATAGACATTTATAATCACATAGATAAGCATATTTTCCATTATCCAATTATATATGGTCTCATCACACATTGTATATTTAAACTCTCTAGTTCTACCACTTCAATTATAAGTGAGGTGAGGTGAACATCCCTAAAGTGAGCACAATTTGTCTATATCACTTCTCTATGCCATTTTTATGTGTCACCAATTACAAATTGACACGTTAATTAAAGTTGTACCATAATAACTAACCAAAAGTTAATAAAACATAAATGTGAGTTTGTAATTGATAGCACATAGAAGTGATATAGAAAAGTGACATAGACAACTTGTATTCCCCTAGAGTTGGTCGTGCAATTATAGAGCTGCCTAATCACACATAACAATTGTAGAGAATATTAGGAAAGAGAACATTAACGCTTTTAATTATATATTGGATGTCAAGGGGAAGCATAATTGGTAAGTTATTGAGATTTCAAGTACCATCACTCCCAATATTTTTTTAAACTTAGATACATGTATCTTAAATTAAATGGATTTAATATGTATACACGTTAAAGTTTTATTTTAAAACCAATTGATAATAAGATAAAAATTTTATTATGTATTTAAACCATTCTCGAGATAATGAAGTATGTTTATATGTTTAAAATATGTTATTACATAAAGTCTCATATTACCCAGTATTGAAATGTAGTAGAGAAACTATTGTTTTATATTGAACTCAATCACTTGTTGTAATGTGCACTACCTCAAATATATCACCAATTAGAATCACATCATTATCATTTGGACTCACAATAATATTTAATTACAATTTACAATTAAAATTAATTTAGTAACAATAAAATATAAAGAAACATACATAATTGTTTGTAAGTTTCAATTAAAGTGATGTTTTTTTGTTCTTTTAAAGACTTAAACTCATCAATGATTGAATCAGAGATAAAAGTTTCAGCTATTTTTTTCAATATAAATTAACATATTGTCTACAAGAAATTCATCTTCCATCTTACTTAGTAATCTTGTTTGATTATCGTCATTACTGAAAATGATATTTCTGTAGTAGTTGTAGAAACCGGAAGAGTTAAATAAAATGAATAACTCGATTAAGTAATATGCTTTCACCTTCCCCGTTTTGTCAAAGTTGCACTAAATTCGGAGATGATTTAGAGGTTTTTCAAATATGAATGACTAACAACTTCAAGAATAAAATGTTGAAGTTGATATCACAAGTTAATCTTTTCCTACTCATTGAAATCATTAGGATATAATTTTTGCATACACAAGAATATATATATTATCAATATTAAATGTTTTATAAACATCTTCAGGATCCAAACTATTGCTCAGAGTTAAAAGTTTGATTATGGATGACAATGAAAACCGAACTCGCGGATACCCGTCCGAACCCAACCCGAATTTAACGGTGAAAGCCCGATGTGATTGGGTTCGGGTTTTACCCAAGTTCAAATTTCGGGTTCGGGTTTGGTATTAACAATATCAAACCCGAACCCGATTAATATATATATAACTATAAGATTGCATATATAAAAGCTATATATATATATATATATATATATATGCTATATATATATAAATTTCATACACATATATAAACTATATATAAAAAATATGTATTTTTGGGTTCGGTTTACCTGAAACCCGACGGGTTAGGGGATGATATCATTGTTTCCAACCCCGCTTAATTTGGGTTCGGGTTCGGGTTTTGGATTTCGGGTTCGGAGTTGGGAAAGCACAAACCCGACCCGCCCCGTTGTCATTCCTAAGTTTGATTGGATGCTCACTGAATGTGTGATTCAACTCTAGCAAGTGTTAAGGTTCCATCTCAAAACCAATTGGCTATGAGAGGAATAGCTCAACAGATATTTAAATCATCACCGGAACAATGAGGTAGGTGATGTGGGACTTACTTCCCAACATGCCCTTTCCACATAAGTCTGCCTGTTCAGGCGAAGGGTATCCTTTGACCCATAACTAAAGGGTATCTTTTGGCCCATGACAACCAGAGAGAAGTTGGGCTCTGACTCTGATTTCATGTTAAGGTTTCATCTCAAAACCGATTAGCAATGAGATGAGTAGCTCAACATATATTTAAATCATTCCCAAGACAATGAGGTAGGCGATGTGAGACTTACGTACCAACAACAAGTGCTTCTCAATTGTAATTAGAAATATGTTTACCCTGTAATGTTGCTTAAGTTTTGATGACGAGAACACCCTTCACGTACTATATAAGCATTATTAAAATAGAGAATATAAATGTCATGTTGATCACAAAATAATGTAACAGTTTTCAATGAATTTTCCAAACCAACAACTCTCAACTTATGAATAAGTGCTTTTATAGTAAGAACTAGCTGCATATCATTATCTATATTCGGGGATTTTTGTTGCAAAGCTTGATAGACAATTTGTGATCTATATAACCTCTTTGATTAAATGTAAAATCAATATGAACTCAAATCAAACTATATAATATTATAAGTAACATCAATATTTACACGTGTAAGAGAACTTGACTCGTTATATATAATTTGGAGAAAGACCACACAACTGTATTATAACAGTAAGCAACATCATTCGCTATAGAGTACTATAACCATGAAGGAAACATTTTGAGCCAAGTGGGTTGAAATCGTCTTGGAATTTTATCTTTATTTATTGGATATTCTTCAACATGACAATGATATGGACACTGATGTAGATAAGCTCTCGAAAATGAATCATTAGAAAAACAAATTATAAGAAAATGTAAGTGTGCCTATAAAAAAATTGTATATGTTATAATAAAAATTCAAAATGTATCAATAATGTTAATAATTACACCCTAATATGGAGTAATGGAGTAATGTTCCTGTACAACTGTTGTGAATACCGGTGA